TATATTCCACACCTAATTTTTAAAATAAATTATTTCAGAATTTTTGTTCAGTGATCGTCCATTTACTACTAGTGTTTTACTTCCATCGACATTAGTGGTTCGGCATCATTGTTTACTTTATTATCGCCAATCACTACATTTTTGCGGAAGGGAAATATTTTTTTCTTTAATTTGCTTTCCTTTGAGTTTTCAATCTCCAAAATTACATTTGTTATTGTTTATCATAGGAATCAGGCACAATGATATCTCCAACTCGCAGTGAGCGCGCAGTTAATCGTCGTGATATTCCTGGAAGCGGGTATCTTGCCACAGCTGTTGGTGGATCTCGATTTCTCGGTGGCACCATTCCTGGCACGCTTGCCGGAAATTCGGCTAGGCCATCATCAAACATTGGGGTGGGAGATGTAGAAAGCTGGCTGGAACTTAGTCGAATGGGTGAAGCTCTTTGTCGTCGAGCTCGGAATCCATTTGATCTCTCTTCAGTTAATGTCACCAGTAACGCTAATTCCAGTCATTGTGACAGTAGTGGTTCACGCGGTCCTCGCTATGGCCAGGCAGGTAGATTGCATGTTGGAGAAGGCAAGCGGTCTGGAGGAGGGAAAGGCAATCAGTCTAGATTACGCACTGGCGCCACATCCAACATTGCTAGTCGTATTTCCGATGCCCATTCTCCAAATGACGTTGACTCACTCCTAGGCGAGCGCTCTTTGTTTGTTTCGTCAGATAGTGGATGTGGGGATAGTAATAATAGCTCCTCAAGTGGGAGCAGCAGTATTGCCGGGGGGAGCGGCAATGGAACGTCTTGGAGTCGTGGTGGTCTACCCCATGGTAACCCTTCCTCAGGTTTAGGCCGTTGGACTGCCGGCAATATGGTCGGCAGTTCGGCCTCGAATCCCTCTGTCACTTCGCCTCTTCCTGCTGGCGCCGGAAACCTTCCTCCTAGAATGCTACGTAAAATGGCCGCAGCTGCCGCTTCTCAAGCGCCTGTGTTTACTGATACCCAATTGACTACACAGCAGCATCAACCCAAGTCTCTTCGCCCACATGGTAACGCTGCTTCAGTGGAAGAATCCAAACATGCTTTTGCTGGTACTTCTAATGGTACCAGTGTCAATGAAGTATTAGCCAGTCTTAGCAGTGGGATCGATCTTTTCGAGGCAAGTTCATACCTTAACATTATTTTTTTTATCCCTTATATATTCTTGCAACTGACAAAGGCATATACATTCCCAGATGTCCCGCCGGTATCG